GAGAAGCCACTTGCCGCGTGAGCCCTTGCTTCTGATTGGCTGTGACTCGTGATCTCTCTCCTCCTGCAGCTACCGCCTGTGTGACCCTTCGGAGCAAAAGTTATACGGAAAATCGCCTCTCTTTGGACAGTATTTTGTTCCGGAAAACCTAGGGACCATCAAAGTGGGAGACCCCGTGTACCTGCTGGGCCGGGAATAGGCGCCATAGGTCCTGGAATCTCAGATGCCTTTGAAAAAAAAAATTAAAATAAAAAATAAATAAAATCCTCCAAAGCGCCAGCGCTCGAAGGCCGGTGTTTGCAGCGGGCACCGCGGCGCTTTCTGGGGATGTGCGAGTCCCACGCTTTTCCTCGTGCTCGAAGCGGAGACACGTAGTCTCGACGATTTGTAGGACTCCGGGAAGCCCCCCAAATGGCGAGATCCTGAAGACTCCCCAGTTAACGCCGACTGTGGAGCGATCGTTTCTCCTCCTCCATTCCCCGGCCCAGAGCGCCCCATCTCCATCGTTTCACGGCTGCTCCTTAGGGAAAGGAAAGAGGAGCAGCGGGCGAGCGAGGGGAATGTTCTGGAAGGTTTTTATCACCCCATGCACGGGGCATGCAATGGGAATTAAACGGATTTACCCCCCCCCCCCCCCAAAAAAAAAGGCTGGAATGTGACTCCATCGTCCTCCGCACACCCCTGGCTACATTTCGAAAGGGCGTGAAGAGCTTGGAAACACCTCAGAAGCGCGCATCATATTGGACCTGGCGCCGCCGCTTCCGTCCAGTGTCCACGAGGACGTGGGGAGCTCTTGGGAGCACGCTGGGCCTCCGGACTGGGGGGCAGAAGAGGTGGCAGGCGGGAAAGCCAGCTCAGGGGAGCAGCGTGCTGTCGGCCCCTGATCAGGGGCGGGGGAAAGGCGAGGCCAGGAAACGAAGCGTCGTATATCTCGTGCGCGTCCCCAAACTTCCCCCAGTATCTGAACGTGGACGAGGGCGCCGCAGAGGGCGGGGGGCACCCCTCGTTCGCGTTGCCCAGGAAACGACCGAGGCCCTGTGAACGCGTAAGAGCACGAAGGAGCCTCTTGAAAGGAGGTGGTGCCATCTAGTGGCGTTGAGTGGCAGCTCAGAGCCAGCTGTCGAAAAATTGGAAAAATTCCTGTGGATGGTGTTAGTTTTCCACCCTAGAATTTTTTTTTTTTTTTTAAACTCCAGGTGTTTTCTGCGTCTCTGTTGGAAACACTCCATTTCCCGAAAGCGCTCCGGAGGATGGCTGTCTGTCACAGTTTTCCAGGATCCTTGCTGATCCCCTCCACTCCTCATGACTGGCTGCTTCTCCTCACCGTTTAGGGTGAAAAAGTTCTAAAGTCCGCGGATAAGAAGAAATGTGACTGTGATTCAAAGTAAACCGCTGAAGACCTTTCGCAGGAGAAAGGAAAAAATGTAAGTCAATTTGTTTAAAAACCGGTATCTAACGTTTCCGCCGATGGAATTATGTAGCGCTAAGGTCTGATGACGTGTGTCTTTCATTGCCAGTTTGTCCTTCGATTGTATTAGGAAGCTGACGAAATCATGAAAAATGTTTCAAAACTATAAATAAATAAAACCTACTTTGACCGGTTTTGAATCTCACTGACTTCTTGGTACCGAGTCAGGCTTTGAAAGCTGACAGAATTGAGCAGACAAAGCCAAAGATCCCGCCACCCGACCAGAGCTCCCTCAAACGCGTCCACTCACACACAGCATCCCCAGGCAAATGCCCATTTTTGAAGGACTGTCAAGTAAACATGCTTTCTACCCAAAGCTGTGCATTTTCCAGTGGTTTTATAAAAACGGTCAGAGGTCATTGGACTTTAGCCTAGATTTGAGGTAAAGTTAAGAGTTAACAGGTGCATGGATATACGTTTTCTGGTTGGTGAATTACTATCATTTGTAGTCTGGATGCTTTACGAGAGGTAAAGAATTAAAATAATCAAATAACCTGGCCCATCACCTTCCCCCCACAATGCACTTTTTACTGAAACGACAGATAGGCTGAGGCAAAAATAAGACTTCGGCCAGTAGCATACTTAAGGGACCGTGGCAGAATGGCCACCATATTTATGAAACCACGTGGATATCGGCTTTCTGAGCAGCCGATAGTTAGGGATGAGAAGTTCCAGGTTGGTTTGGTGGCTGTTCCTAGATGTTTGTAACCGGTGGCAAGAGAAATGGCTTAGTCATGAATTTCTAACCCCTGTAAATGGTAATTCACTTCCCCAGCAACCTGCTCTGTGTGAGGGCCACGCTTCAGGCAGACCCCATCATTCTCTGCGTTGCAGGGTGACCTTAAAATGGAAGGGGGTACCCAGACACCCTCTTCATTGGAGGGAGTCTTCTTGTGTCTCTCAGAGGTTCCGATGACCCTAGAATGTCAGGGGAGTTGGCAGGCTTTCTGTCAGTGAGATTTAGGAGCCATTTACTTGTGTTTATTTTATATTTATGAGTTGGTTGCTGCTAAAGGCAGGCTGATGTCTAGTTTCTTTTGGAAGAGGAACATTTATTTGCACACAATTCCACTTGAAATGTGGGGTCAGGACTACAGACCATCCCAGCCCTTCAGAAAGGTCTTAGAGCTGTGGGGGGCGACACTCGAGGTCAGGCCAAAACACCCACCCCTGGTGGCTGTTTTGTTCCGGGTGGCAGTCACAGCAGAGAGTTTCAAATCCAGAGCTGGAGATCTGGACAGGGCCACTGTGGGGGGACTCTGGGCCGGCTGCATAATGGCTCCTGTTCACGGCTCTTCTGCTAAAAAGTTAGAAATTCGAAGCCAGGAGATAAAAGCAGCAACCTCTATACGCAAAGGGAGAAAGAACTCCAGGTGAGCTGGACAATGGGCCGCACCCTCCACTGTGTCCTGGGGGTTTGGTAAAACTTCCTGAGGGGCCACTGAACTTGACTAGCCACATGAGGAGGCTGTCATCACCAGCTCTGGCACGCTGGAGTGCTATGCCAAGTCCCCAGACAAATTATAACAATCCATGATGGCAGACAGCAGAGATGTAAGGGTCACTCCAGGCGCCAGAGCATCTCCCGGGCCCGGCCTCCAGTGTGGGTGTACCAGGGTGGTGGCGCCATATCCTAACCCCGCACTTCCCCAGTTTCATCGGCCCGTGGAATTCTGAAAGTTCGCCTGGTGGTTGCTCCCTAAAGAACGCCCTGGACCAGAAACCGAGAAATCCCGCGTGCCTCCCTCCCCTTCCCAGGCCAGCGGTCCTCAAGGCTCCGGAGCCGGAGAGAAGCATCCAGGTGGCGTTTAACGCCAGCCTCCCACAGCTCTGTTCTGATTCTCTGGATGCATGCCGCCGTGATCGCCAGAAGGAGCACCCACCCGCCAGGGGCAAGGAATCGTGGTTAGCAGGAGAGGTGCATTCGTGGGAAGGTTCTAGAAGTTAAAAGGGTCCCCTGCCGCATGGAGGAGGCCTCCCTTGGGATGGATGATGCCTCCTCTTGTCTTCTTCCTTGTGGAAGGACAGACTGGGGCTTAAAGGATTCAAGAGATGAGGGGAGCATGTCTTAGACTATTAGCTCTCCTGTCGTGGGTCTTAGGAGCATCAGTGCTCTCAGATGCCCACCTGCACCAGGGAGGGGTGCCACCTTGCCGTCTGCCAGCTTCGCCGTCCACTGCAGCTCCTTTCTCCAGTGGGGCCACCTCCCGTCACATCCAGCAGAATCAGCCCTGGCCCCTATTGCCCCCGGTCACACGTCAATATGCACTTTATATTATTAATCTCCTATCGGCAATGTTTGCTTCTACCATGTTCTTAGAAATGGACAAGTGAGTTACGACGTCATCTCAAGTTCCCCTATTTCAAGCCAGGGGGAAAATCTGGCTCAACACCACAAATGTTTTGGGACCTGAAATAATAAAAATGTGTACATATTTTTTAATCCGAAGTAGCTCAGTGTCAGCTCTGACTGCACTGGCTTCAGAGGAAGAGTCCCGGCCACGGCTTTGCGGAGGATCCTGCTCTCCCTCAAACACAGCCGACATGGGCCAGGTGGGCCACCTGGTCCCATGCTCTTCACCTGGCTCAGAAGGAGGAGCTGCCTTAATCACATTATTCATCTTCCCGGACAGGGCTGTAGCTCACACGACGTAACGAAGAAGTCTAAGAAATGACTTGCCATCCGACTTCTTCTGAGGCTGATGAGTGGGTCAAGTTCACTTAGATTTGGCTACTGACCAGCCTAATCTATTCACTCAGGTAGTCCTCAGTCATGTGCCCTTACCGTCACAGAACATTCCAGACTGCTCTTCCTCCTGCCTCCCTCGCAAGCCCACAGTGCCCGATTCTTCCTCCTCGTTCCCTTCTCTCCACCCTCTACCAATCCCCAGCCTGTTTTCAACAGTCCGGGCTCCAGTCTTGGTGGAGCCTTATGGGATTGAAGTAAGTCTGACTCCTCTCTGTCTCTCTCTCTCTGTCTCTCTCTGTCTCTCTCTCTCTCGGTAAGTCTGACTCCTCTCTCTCTGTCTCTCTCTGTCTCTCTTTCTCTGTCTCTCTCTGTCTCTGTCTCTCTCTGGGATTTCCTGGGAGCACTGTCAATAAAGTCCTATTGTCATAATTATTTCTGATAATAGCGTTCCACCTAATGAAAGTCTCGGAGAGATTGCATGTACTCGGGCTAAGGGAGGGTCACCTTCCAGATGACGAGCCTAGCAATTAAAGCAGCTCGTTAGCCGGACGCCCAGGACGGCCCAGGACAGCTGGAGAGTTCTCCTCCGCAAGCGGCTCTGGTTAACATCAACCACGAAAGCTCTTTGTAAACACGCAAATAATTGATCGTCCGGCGCTCACAGAGCTACCGAGGATCTGAGCTCTGATGACTCGTTTGCGAGCCATTCCTGTCGTCTGCAGGCCATAACACTGGAGGAATGATGACCGTTTCTTGGAGATTCTTCTGGGGCTGGAGTTGCCAGGATTAAGGCTGTAATGGTTTGTTATGATGACTTTTGTTATTCCATTAGGCTCAATTGCTTTAAAAAATGATGTGCGCATACTTTCGGAATGTTTTTACCCTTTACGTTGACCTGACATCATAGTTTACATTACGGAATGTATTAATGACAGAGGAGTGTTTTCATGTCCCAAGGACAAGTTTTAACAACCATAATCTGCCCTTAGTCGTCATAAATATAAACGTATTGGTCAAACAGATCTCGTTAATGTGGCTAAGATAAATGCAAGTCTATATTTTAAGGCAGTTGAAGTCTTA